CCTGCAATTAATTTTACCTTAGAAGTAGAAAGCAACAACATTATCAACTTTTTAGACCTAACTATCAAAAAGAATACTTCCTCCTCTTCTTCTTTGCCTACACTAGAATTTTCAATATTCAGAAAACCTACTCAAACTGACCATATGATACCAACATCATCAAATCACCCTTTTCAACACAAGATGGCAGCTATTCAATGTTATGTCCACAGACTTCTTAATATCCCTATGTCTCAAGAAAACTACAATAAAGAAATCTCCATCATTAAACAGATAGCAAACAACAATGGTTTTCCTTCTACTACTGTTGATAAAGTCATTAGAAAATCTATACTCAAAAAGAGACTAAACCAAGCTTTTAATGTTGATAAAAAATCCAACACTACTTCCATATGTAGATCCTTAACTTACTTAGGACCAATTTCAGGAAAAATCTCAAGAGTACTTGTTAATAAAATTAGTGACCTAAACATCTCCTTTAAAACCAAATATAACATCAAGTCCATCTTCAGCAAGACCAAAGACAAAGTTGACAAACTAAACAGAAGTGGTATTTACAAGCTGTCCTGTGGTGACTGTAATATGACTTATGTAGGTAGAACAATGAGAACTCTGAATCAAAGAATCAAAGAACACCTCAATAACCCAGAAAAATCAAACTTTGGATATCACATTAAATTTAATAATCATTCCTTTTCTCCTTCTGAAAACAGTAAAATTTTACACAACATTCCCAATAAAAACTTTGGACTCATGAATCTCTTGGAAGATCTAGAGATATCCAAAGAAATGAAACTAAACCCTGATTGTTGCTTAAACACACAAATCAACCTCAATTGCAACTATAAACCTCTTTTTAAATTATTATGGGAGACTTTAGAGGAAGAAGGGTGACCTCATGCAATCTTATTATATATTTTTCATACTTTTATATTTTAAACAAATTTTAAACTTTATTAGAAATTTACAACATTTTGTAATTCATTTGACAGTTATTCTTAATTGAAACATGAAAATACATTCTTAAAAAATTTTTTATGCAAATTTCTTACAATTTTCCATCAAGAGATACAAGTATCAGATAACGTAACATTAATACCATGTTTCTTCTTTATATTGTTGTTGAACAATTTGAGCTCTTGTTTCTTAAGGATGGCTGTCAGATTGAACATACATTGACCTTGAGCAATGACTTGAGTGAATTTACAAACTAATGTCATTCTGTATGATGTGATGAACACATAAAATTTAATTTTAAAAACTTAATTTTTAGAAAGTCTTTGATGACTATTAGTAATTCCAAACTACTAAATAATTTTGTAAGAATTTAAAAAACAATCTCTATTTCCTATATATTATGACATTTGTCAACTGTCACTTTTGAAAAAATCGTTTAAAAGGACCGACATTTGATTTCATTAGTTCTATTCTGTCTACGTCCTCACATCAATCAATGGTCGGGTTCTTACACCCGTACCATGACAAAAATTTTTTCAATTTTTTAACGTGTTTGTGAAGTCCAGTGTCGGCTTTTTATATGTTTTTTATATGTTTTAAGAATTTCAACACCTAAAAAATCATAATTTTGAAATTTAAGGAAATGAGATCTCTTCTTTGTAGTGGTATTTAAAAAATTGACGTAAGTTAAAAATTATAATCTTTACCAATTAGTACTTATAAGAACATTTTATTGTAGCATAATTCTGATGATGGCTTTGTAAAGCCGAAAGCGCTCAGCTAGGAATTGCCTAAAATATACACACTTCAAAAATACTTTTTTGCATTTTCTTTCGACTTGTCATAAGTGTGTACAAAAAAATATCAGTCTTTTGATTGTAATATATATGTCAGCGACCCAATTAGATTTAAAACCTTCCAATTCTATTCACAACACTGCACTAAAAACTTGTGTGGGTCTGCCTTCAAGTCGAGCCCCGCTGAGAGTATAATATAATTTTTTTGAAACTTTCACCGTTGAGTCATTGCATTAATGGTTAGTCTATTTTGTTCATTTTGTTATTTTAGGTAGGACATGTGATTCGCAATGCAGTTAGATCAGGTCAAGAAGCCATTCACCACGTAGGAGAAATAACAAACCACGCTAAAAAAGCTATATTAACGGCCAGACAAGCCCCAGAAATTCTCATGAATACGGTTAGTCCCATTCCAGTGACATCTGACGAGAAAGTTAATTTAAACTCAAGGTTTGGTGACGAAGATGATGATCCAATCGTAGGGCAGACACAACGTAAGTTTACATAGAATAATTATTTACTGCTACATTCTTCATTACCATTATCAAACCCAAACAATCTTTAAAAATTGTGGCTAAGGCCAGGGCGATTTGAAATTCCTATTCTGAGGTGAGGTAATTAACCCTATATTTCCTTTGTTCCATTCATCATCATCATCATATAACGGGGGTCCTACGGCGATTGCCGCTTCCCGCATTTCAGCCTCCATCTTTTCCTATCTCTCCAATCTCCCTCTTCTAAGCCTCTAGACTGCATTGTTTTTGTAATTTCCCTTCTCCAGAAATTTGGTGGTCTTCCCCTTTTCCTTCTTTCTGGCGGAACATACATTAAGGCTTTCTTTGGCCACCGCTCCTCCTCCATTCTCCTCACGTGACCATACCATTTTAATTGCCTTCCTTGTATTCTATCTGAAAGAGTATCTCTAATTCCTGTATGGTTTCGTATTTCCTCATTCCTGATTCTTTCCATTCTCGATACTCGACATGACCTTCTAAGATAATCCATTTTCACAACGTCTACTTTATCTCGTTCATTCTTTATCATCGTCCAACCTTCAGGACCATATGTGGTAATTGGTTCTACAATTGATCTGTATACACGAAGGTTGGTATGCATCTTTATTTTATTAGACCACAGTAATGAATTCAGTATTCGGATGCATTTTTTCCCTTGGGTTATTCGGTTTTGTATATCTATCTTAACTCTGTCATCTGCTGATATAATGCTTCCTAGATATTTATACTGGTTGCAACCTTTTATGACTGCGTTTTCAAGCCTCAGATCTGTGGTATTTCCTCCAATTTTTAAATATTCTGTTTTGCGTATGTTTACAGTAAGCCCCCATTTGGCATATTCCTCAAATAATTTTCGATTCATATAATTTATATCTTCCTCATCGGTTGTAACCACCACCTGATCATCTGCAAACAACAATGTATACAGAGTTTCTTGTCCCACTTCGATGCCCATAAATCTACATTTATTTCTCCAATTTCTCAATGCTTCTTGGACGTATATTTTAAAGAGTGTCGGTGACAAACAGAATCCTTGCTTTAGGCCTTTAGTGACTTTAAATTCATTTGAAGTTCTGGTTCCAATTTTTTCACAACCAACTGCATTTTCGTACAATTTATATATCGCTCGGATATACGTCGAATCCAAAACGGACCTTTCGAGGATCCCAAACATTTCCTTTAACGGGACACTATCATATGCTTTTTAAAGGTCTATAAATACCAAATGGGTCTTTCTACTTCTTTCGACACGCTTTTCAATTATTTGTCGTAGGATAAATATATTATCAAGGCAGGATTTCCCGGTACAAAAGCCGCTTTGTTCTTCAATATCTTGTATCTGTCTTTCAACCCTCTTCTTTAATATTCTACCATACAACCGGCCCACAGAGCTCGTCACACTAATACCTCTATAATTGGAACAGTCTCTTTTATTCCCTCTCTTATATATGGATCTTATATAAGATTTATTCCAATCTTTAGGAATTTCCTGGTCTCCACACATACATTTATTAAAAAGGTCCTCTGCTATTAATTCTAAAAGTGCAGTTGGTCCATATTTAACCAGCTCTATGGGAATGTCTCCAGGCCCTGCGGCTTTTCCGTTTTTAACCTCTTTTAAGGTTTCCGTCAATTCAGATAATGTTATTATAGGGATTTCCTGTCTTTCGTCTCTGTTGTCTATTAATTCCCTTATCTTGTCCCATCTGTACTCTACTCTATCCTCTTTCAGCAGTTTCGTATAATATTCTTCCCATTCATTTAACTTTATGAGAGAAATGTTGTCTTCATTTTTCTCATTTTTCCTAAACTGCTTTAATGTTTTCCAAGCTTGTGCCACTTTTGTTCCACATATAAATCTGTCCAGTTCATCACTATGTTCCATTCAAGTGGTAATATATTTTATTAATTGAACTGTTTTTGTTTTTTTTTTTTGAGAAATGCCGTTTTACCTATACGGGGTGTAAAAATAAAGTTGTGTTTTTTCATCTAATTTTGCAACACCTTCTGGAATGTATTAGAAATAAAGGCTACATCTTACTAATATTTTGAGATAGCTTTATCCTTTCTTACCATTTTTTAAAAGAATCATCTCGATATCTCTTTTATTAAAAAAGAAAAGTGTGTTCAAAGCATTTCGTGATTTTCTACTCGCCAAATTTAACACACCACATGAACTGTACCATAATTGTTAAGCTTTTTTTCTTTTGAATCCTTGATTGTATTTTCGTATTGCAGATATATTTCTAAGTAATTACGGTATTAATATTTTCTGTAAAATGTCAACGTTTTACCCATATACGGCGTGTAAAAACAAAGTTATTTTTTCATCTTATTTTGTAACACCTTGTGGAATTTATTAAAAGCAAACGCTACATTTTATTAATATTTTGAGATCATCATAAGTTGCTCGACAATACGTTGTGGATTTTGGCCTGCTCACAAAGAAGTCGCCACTCAGGTCGATTCCTGGCAACTTCCCTCCATCTTCTAACCCTTAGAATCTGTAGGTCTTCAACATCATCAATGTGCTTCTTGTGCCCTCTGATTTTGAAAATGTTAATCTCTTCGTGTATACTTGATCTGACATCCTACCAATGTGTCCAGCCCATCTAAGTCTCTGCACTTTAATGAATTTCACAATATCTGGATCGGTGTATAACTGATATAGTTCAAGGTTGTATCTTCGACGCCATCATTTTCATTTTCAGCCCCAAAAATCTTTCTAAGAATTTTTCTCTCAAAAATACCAAGAAGTATTTCATCATTTTGATATAAGGTCCACGTTTCAGCCCCCCCCCCCATATATCTCTTATTAAAGTCTTGTATTATATTAAGCTTTACTGAACGTTTTATATTTTTATTATTTAAATGTTTCTGGAGACCGTGAACAATTCTGTTTGCTATTGCTATGCGTCTTTTTATTTCGTTGTTTGTCGTGTTTGTTGCGTTTACTAGGCATATGTAAATTCTTTGACTTGCTCAAAGTTATGGTTGTTAGTTTGAATTCTCTGTTGGATATTTCGAGTGTTTTTAGAAACCAACATATATTTGGTTTTTTCCTCGTTTACCACAAGCCCTAATTCACTTACCGCGTCCGCAAGCCTTGTAAAATACTGTCTCTCATATTTCTGCCTACTATAACCATATCGCCAGCGAATGCGAGAATTTACGTCGATCTATTAAAAATAGTTCCATTCATTCTAATATTTAAATGTCTGATTGCCTTTTGAAAGGCAATAATAAAGAGGAGACACTCCAGCGCATCTTTCTGTCTTAGACCATTATTAATGTCAAAGAACGTAGAGTTTTCTTCTTCAATTCTAACGCATGAGCTTACGTTTTGCATTGTTAGTTGGGCCAACTTAACTAACTTAGGTGGTATCCCAAAGTCTATAATTGCATTATATAATGCAGTTCTTTGAACTGATGGTGGTGATGGATAATGAAGAGATGGTCTGTATCTATTTTATATTCTAGTGACTTTTCTAGAATCTGCCTATGTAGAAATAACACGTATTACGTTGATTTTTTTAACGTCCTAGTTTTAACCGGAATTTGGAAGTCTCCTACCTCACAATGTATACAGAGAATTGGGGGATTTGAATGTAAATAAAGACAAAGATATTTATATAAAGCTCAGGGGTAAACTACAAAATTTTAAACAAATATTTCATGGTTAAAAAAATTTGAAACACTACACAATATCACGAGTAATTCAACGTTTTCAAAAAACAAACGACCATACGAGACGGCGTGGACAAAGAAGAGGAAGACTCACAACACAAGAGAACGTTTTGTCACAATTAGACTTTACAAATACTATCTATCTATCTATCTATAGCCCAAAATCTATTCATGTGTTGAATATAGGCCTCTCCCATTTGTCTCCATTTGTCTCTGTCTTCTGTTTGTCTCTTCCACATTGGACCTGCGCTTTGCTCAATGTCATCTTTCCATCTCATTTATGGTCGACCTCTTGACCGTTTTGTAGTATATGGTCTCCAGCGGCCAATTTCTTTATTCCATCTTCCATCCTGATATCTTTTGTTATGCCCATCCCATTTCCATTTTAATTTCAATGCATGTTTTACAGCGTCTGTTGTTTCGGTTTTGCATCGTATCCACTCGTTCCTCTTTTTATCTCTCAACGATATTCCCAACATCCCAAATACAAGTGGCAGATTTTTATAATATTCAAATTAGTAGAAACACTATACAAAGACGTCTCGCTGAACAAGATCTGCATGTAAGGATACCAGTCAGACCACAAGCTTTAAACGTAAATCATCGTAGAAGTAGATTACAATTTGCCAGAGAGCACCTTGACTGGAATGGTCTGGGAACACGTGTTGTTCTCTGATGAATTGAGGTATTGCTTATATAGTTCAGATAGACGTGTGAGAGTTATTCAGAGGCCATAATAACGCTATTCACAGTGCAACATACGATATATTACTTTATTAAATGGAGGATCTGTAATGGTTTGAGGAGGAATATGTCTTACAACGCGAACGGACCTTGTTGCTTTGCGAAGAGGTTCCTTAACAAGTGAAAGATATATTACAGACATTTTGTCAATGTAGTTCCATTTACTTCTTATAAGAAATAATTTTCTTTTAATGCATGATAACTCTCGACCACATATTGCACTTGTGGTCCCTGACTATTTGGACAAGGTTGGAATACAAACCATGAACTGGTCGTCCTGCAGCCCTGATCTGAGTCCCATAGAAAATTTGTAAGATATTATTGATCGCCAACTCAAGAGCCGACCACCACCAGCACCTTTCTCGCTTGACGATATAGATATAGAAGTTATGGTGAGAGAAGTTTGAGATGAAATTGATCAAGGCCAAATACGCCGCTTGATTTTAAGTATGCCTCGTCGCTGTGAAATAGTAATTGAATATAGAGGTGGATATACTCGTTGTTAAGTGTTTTTGGGAGAGGAAGATGTTAAAGATTAGTTGGGATATGTTTCTTAGGCTTTAGTTGAAGTAAATGTCAATAAAGTTTATGTAAGTAATGTTTTCTTTGTTTTAAATATTAATAAAAACTTGTTACATTTAAAGTTCTGTATAATCTTTGATAATAAAGATATTGAGATTTTTACGAATATTTTGAAAAAAAAAATGATACTACTTTAAAATAATAATAAGATGTAGCGTTTCTTTCTAATAAATTCCAGAGTGTTGCAAAATCCGATGAAAACACTCAACTTTATGTTTACACCCCGTATACGGATAAAAATATGATATTTTTTAGAAAACATTACCACAGTGATTTAATAGAAATAGACCTATAATACGAAAAAAAATCATCGTAATCCAATTATATGATCAGAAAAAAAATAGCTTTAAACTTAATTTTGGACAATAGTGTATTCTCCTACTTTTTCTTTTGTGGGACTTCCTATTTCATCGTTATGTTGTACTTTTTATCGTTCTGCTTCAGAGTATATTTTATTCCTCGTGTATAACTTTTTTCCATAATATTCTTTCCATATTCTGTTGATCTTACCAACATTATTTAACCTGGCACTGGAGTATGCGGTCAGGCAAATGCAAACTGGACGCCGATGATATTAATATTATGAGTAGAACATCAACAGGAGCACAGGAAGCATACGCAGAGTTAAAAACACAAACGAAAAGGCTAGGTCTGGAAATTAACACAGAAAAAACAAAAATAATGGTACAGACGAGAAGAAATATAATCCCACAAAACATTATACATGAAGATGACATTGAAACGGTTGGAAAGTTTACATACCTGGGAGTAGAAATATATGCCGATGGAGCAGAGGATGGAGAAATACGAAAAAGGATAATGCAGGCAAACAAAGCTTATTTTGCCCTCTCCCATATATTTTGGTCTAAAAGTGTCCACCGAAATACAAAGATGAGAATATATAAAACTTTAATTCGGCCAATAGCATGTTATGGCAGCAAAGCATGGGTCCTGAAAGAAACATCCAAAAACAAACTCGACACATTCGAAAGAAAAGTACTGAGGAGAATACTGGGACCTGTGAGGGAAAACGGAATCTTCAGAATTCGATATAACAACGAGCTCTATCAACTGTATAAGGAAACACCCCTGTCAAACTTCATTAGAATACAAAGATTGCAATGGGCCGGACATGTGATACGAATGGGAGAGGATAGGCTACCAAAACGAGCACTGAACGCCAGAATGCAAGGAAAGAGACCAGTTGGAAAGCCAAGAAAGCGCTGGGAAGACACAGTAAGCGGCGACGCACAAGCACTTTTAGGAGTCCGTGTATGGAGAAGAGCAGCCACAGACAGACAAGGGTGGAGGCAAAAAATAAAGGAGGCCAAGGCTCATTTTGGGCTGTAGTGCCATAGAAGAAGAAGAATTCTGTTGATCTGCTTATCCTCATATTCGGTTTCTTCTTTTTCGTTCTTCAGTCCTATTGTTTTCGTTTTTCAATATCATCTAGCTTCTCATTTAACCAGTCATTTTTACTTTTTATTAATTACATAAGCTTTATTTTTAATGCTTTCGTATTTTCTGTTTTGTTCTCTCGGGTTGTTGACCCATGTCATTCTGGTGGAATTTTTATTGCTTTCGATTTGCTGTCTTGTACCAGCTACATTCTTAATTTTATTAAATTATTTTCAGAGATACCAGAGTTTGTCAAAATGGGACATCTTCTAGATGCTGCTGGAGTTTCCAATCCAGCTATAACTCCAGAGGCAATTGATCCAAGGACCAACACACATCTTGAACAATTTTGGAAAAACATCGGGAATGTTGCGGGAAATCACAACTTAAAAAACATTCAAGAGATTTTTAACAAGAAAACTAACTTAGAGAAGATTAATCAGAACAAACATATTTTTCCCAAATATAACATCCGAAACAATGAGGGCTACGAACTGGGTAATATTCAAAATAAAGTAAACGATAAGGTTAAAAATGTTCTGAAGAATTTTGAAGAGTTTTCTCATAATAAAAACGAAGATGTTTTAAGACATAATGCAGCTGCAGATAATATTCAAAACAAAAACCCAATAAAAAGTATTAAAGAACTGTTTCCAGGACATAGCAACTTACCAATCCAAGAGTACCAAGAAAATATTCAGAAATTTGTGAACAACAATTTTCAACAAACTTTTAAAAATTTAGAAAGTATAGGAAGCAATCAAAAGAAAGATATGACTGTGAGAAATAATTTTGGTTTCCAAAATAATAAATATATGGAAGACTTGAAGGAAAATGTAGAAAATACAATTAATTCTTTTAATAATGTCGAACACAAAAGTACAAAAAAAGTTCCAAAAGAAAAAACTGAATATGTTCAACAAGTCTTAGATAAAATTGAAGATGTTTTAAACAATGCTAACTCTAGAAAGTCCATTCAAAATGTGTCTAATAATGGAGAAAAAGAAAGAAGAGACCAAATCCAAAAATTGCGAAATAAGCTGGACAATATTCATATGATGCACAAGTTGACTTCCAGAAGTAATAGAGAAAAAAACCTTCAGAATATTTTAGACAAGATTGACGACGAAAAAAACAGAGATAAGTTTTTAAAAAATCTTAAAAATGGTGTTGATGATCTCAAGAAAACTTTAGGCGTAGAAAATATCCGTAATTTCGTAGGAGATGTAAAAGAAAAGTTGAACGATTTAAGAGAGAACAGCGCACTGGATGTTAAAAATATTAATTTTAAAAATAAGAGGACAAAAAGGGACGTTAAGGGTAAGTCATATTTCTGTTCGTTAAATTAATCAGTCCAGCTTAAGTTATATTCTAGAGCTATCTAGTTTGTCTATTCGTTTAAAAAACATTATAATTCGTGTCATAATGAATAAAACATTTTTATAATGTCCTTTTTGTACCGTTAAAATCAAAGATTAAAAAAACTATCAAAAAAGAAGAAAAACAGGATAAGAACAAGTTCACATAATTGCCCACTTTGCCCACAAGTGTTTTTTATACCTAATAAGAGCATCTTACTCCCTTCCAATACTAAATAAACTGTAATTGGTAAATGAGAACATCTTACAATACTATAAAGTTTTATTTATTGTATATTATTCCTTATGTCTTGTATAATATTATTGAAGAATATATTCCCATATCATGATCGTATTAATAAGAGGCTTTCGTGAACGTCGCACAATGACGCCAATTTTCTTCTTAACCTGAAAATATTTGCAAAAAAGTGACGACTGTGTGGTGGAAGTATGTTTAACAATGTAAACCCAAAGTAAAAATTAAATTATCTTAAGGCTTAATTATGAAGAAACGAGTGGAATCATGAAGCAACCGGAAACGTTTAAAAAACGCTATCAACAAAGAGAAAAAACATAGTATAAGAAAAGTGACTGTATTTAGCCACTTTAAGCTATGGAGACAGATCAGGAGATCTAACTGGCCATTCTAAAATTAATTAATTAATTAATTCAAATTAATATTAGGAAAAATATTACATATTTAGGTATTCACGTACATGCCGTGCGTAATGCGGTGATGCCTTATCTTGCTGGTACCTTAATGGTCCGGTAGCTGAGGATTTTGATGATTTAGGTATAGAACCGCAAGTGAGGAAATTATTCGCTCTTGAAGTAAATCAAGATAAAAAAAATTTTATTAAAAATTCTTTATAAATGGTATATGATTTTAAAAACCCAATCGGGCTATATCACAAAACGTTTTCGGAATCCATATTCCATCATCAGTCTCTAGGTGCACATAAATATATGGGTAAAAACCCGTTAAAAATTATCTTTTTAAATTTAGTTTACATTATATTGTATTATATATTAGGATGTTAAAGTTACCAGTGGATTTGGTAACATGGCGACGTATGACTCCACATGAAGTTGCTGCTCCTGAGACGATATGTCTACGAGGACTTGATGATACACTGATGATGGAATATTTATTCTGAAAACGTTTTGTAATACAGCCCGATTGGGTTTTTTAAATTATATACCTTTTATAAAGGATTTTTAATAAATTTTTTGTGATATATGGTATACAGCCAACTACATGAACTTAGATTGCTTGTGTATTTTGACAGGTAGGTTTATGAGGATTTTTTGCACTGATAATATTACATCCAGTTGTTCATCTTGCGTAAGGCCTGGACGCCCTTTCATGTACTTATTGCCGATATTGCCAAAATGTCTAAATTTTGCTTCAATTTTCTCATCGTTAATAACTTAATGGGTATATCGGGATTTTTTTTTTTGAACCTATTCTCTATCCTTCCATTGTTGGATGTAGGTCTCCCCCAGTTCTCTCCATCTTTCCCTATCTTGAGCTGTTCTCTGCCATGTGGGACCTCCTTGTTTCCTGATGTCATCTCTCCACCTCATCTGTGGTCTGCCTCTTGATCTCTTTGCATTGTATTGACGCCACTTTCCGATGGCATTGTTCCATCGTCCATCTTGGAGACGTTCATTGTGTCCAGTCCATTTCCATTTCGGGATATTTATTGTTAAATAAGTTACCAGCCTCAGCTTGTGTACGGATTCTATCTCCATAACCTAATGTCATTAAAATCTCTGTGCGTTGCATTTCGCTTAAACCATCCATAATGTCAATAACTTGTTTACCATGATAACTTGATAAACCACTGTTATTGTTTGACAACTATTATTTTGAAGTCGAATGAGTATCATACAGGGTGAGTCATGAGGAACTTAACATACTTCTACCATATGTAGAGTCCCTCAGGGAGCATATCATGTGGCCACTAAAAAATGTCAACTCCTCTTCTTTATTAATTAACAGGGTGATTTGTGTAATTGACCATTTATTTCATTTTACTGTAGTGTTTATACGGCTCATTTGATTTTTTTAATTTTTGCATGATACAGTACACTACTATCAAGCATTCGACTGGTATTAGCTAAACTAAAAAATTCCAGGCCTGGCTTTGGAAAAATTAATTTAGGGATTCGTATTAAATATTACATCCTGTATATACATTTTTTTTAATGCAATAAGTATTCAAACTACATAAATAGCCAATGAAAACGACATATGCGACAATGTTGTCGCACTTTTATTAAATTTTTAGTGAACCATCAAATCTTACCAAAAATAGAACAACCATAATGAAGTATCAAATTATAAGGTAATTAATTTAAACAAATGTTATAAATTTCAAACATTTTAATTGAAATGATAAACTGAGTCACTGCACAACAAAAAACAGTAACTACTAACAATAACGAAGAACAATTTAAAAAAAACTAAAAATATGTACATAGTTATGATAAACCCAGAAATTAGAACTGGAAAAGATACAATAATGGTAACAAAATAAAAATAATTCAAAATAGATTTTCGAAATGGAACCCTGCAGCCTGTACACATTTTTGTTGCCGAATTGTTAATTGACGTATTGAATTACGGATACTCTGGGGATCGTTCGTAATAGTATTACAACAATGTATAATTCTATCAATTAATTGTTATCGGTTATTAATATTCACTGCGTAAACTAGTTGCTTCAATCGTCCCCAAATATGGTAACCAACGGGATTGAAATCAGGGGATCTTGAAGGCCACGAAATAGGACCTGCACGTCCTATCCATCTGTTGCCATAAACATTATTGAGATGTTGTCTCACTGCCGGTAAAAAGTGTGGGGGTGCCCCATCATGCTGAACATACATCCTCGGATAGCAACGTTCGCGTTGGCAAGCAAATTCGGCAAAATATTTTGTAGAAAGTTTAAATAGACCTGCCCTGTTAAAAGACTATCAAAAAAGTGAGGACCTACTAATTGGTTATTTATGACACCAATCCACAGGTTAACCGAAAACCTTAACTGAGAACGACGTTCTCAAATGGGGATTTTCTTCGGCCCACACATGTGAATTTCGTGAATTATTTATCCCGTCTCTGGTAAATTGGGCTTCATCTGTAAATAGTGTCCTGTATAGCGTTGGTCGATTATTGTTAATCCATCTACAAAATCCCAACCCATCGATCTCATCTCCAGCATGTAGTCGCTGAACCATTTGAATGTGATATGGGTATAGATTATTTTTTTGTAAGACTCTACTTACTTTTGATTGAGTAACATTGAATTCTCGACTTACTTGTCTAATGCTTATTGTACGGTTCATAGTAACGGCGTCCATAATGTCATCTTCCGCGCTTCATCTACATGTCGCTCTGTTGTTCCACTAAAAAAGTTGAATGTGGAGTACGGATTCAGGGGGAACTGCCTGAATCTTTTAAAACAAATAACGGGCTGCGACAGGGAGACACTCTCTCCTGTATTCTGTTTAATCTGGCTCTAGAAAAAGTAATACGTATGTCACAAATCACAACCACTGGTTCAATATAGGTAAAATAAATCAGTGCAAATCCTGGCCTATGCTGATGATATCAATATTGTTGGGAGAACGGAAAATGCTATACTAGAGGAATGAACATGATTTTTACATTTTGGTGGAGTCCCCGCTTTCAGAAATTTTGAAGGACGACCCGTGAAACCATTTTCTTTGTGTTCTGAGTCATTGAACATATGAAACTGGACAAATTCAGCAGTGCGCATGGTGCTAATGAGTTTGTACATGCTGCACAAATGAGCCTGACATCGTATTGTTGGATTGCAAGATAATTGAAAAACAAAATCGTATGAAAAAAATTTATGAATTTCGAAATTGTTTTTAAAGATATACGTTCCATTTTTCAATATACTGTTTTTCTTTTCATTGATTTTTACGTTTTACATGTTTTACTTAGTTTCATTTAAACATAAAAGTTTTTTTTTTGATGGGTCCTTGTACGATTTTTCAGATACACTAACACACCATGAAGACATCGTTCAGAGTAGTTTCATTCCATCGGAACTAACCCATCCCTTTTTTCTTCCGGGGTTGACCAATTTAAACGAAGACTTTGACCAATCTGATCATCATAATCCGTTTTTGATGAATATGCAAGATCTGGAAGATGAGCGTGAAGATTTTTTAGAAAGATTCGATCAAAGAGGAAACTTTTTATCGACAGATTTGAATCTTGGACCTAGGCATTCGCATCATCAACATTTGTTAGGTAAATAGAATATTTTTTTTAAATGCATATTTACAATCTACTCATAAACAGTTCATTGAGTAATTAGTAAATGTGATGACAATATTGACTTGATTTGGGTATCGTCCAGCGACATTTCTCCATTTTTAGCTATGTAACCAGGTCTTCGGGCCAAGTACCTTTTAGTCTTTGTTCCTCCATTGGAACTGTTCCCTCATGTGCGTTGTATTACGAATTTTTGCCTTATTAGCTTGAAGTGATATGACGTTTTTTAGGGTTGGTACGTAACTTAGATCATTGTGAATGGTTGCATTGCTCACGTACCAAGGGGCGGTAGCTATCCTTTGCAATGTTTTTGATTAAAAAGTCTGCAAAATTTTTGTGTTTGAAGTCTTGCTACAACCCCAGAGTTCTACGCCGTAAGTCTATATTGGTTTTGATATGACTTTGTAAAGCAGTATGTTGTTCTCCAATGACAGTTGTGACTTTCTGTCAAGTAACCGACTCATTTTTTTAAATTTTATATTGAGCACAGTTTGTTTGCAATAATGTGTTGCTTCCAGTTAAGCTTCTGCCCCCATAATACCCCCATTCCTGCTCCCTAGCAGGAATGGGGGCATTATTTAGACTAACCTGTGGACTTTAATTTTCCATTTTGCCAACCAATTCTCTAATGTATGCAAGTAATTTTGCAG